CTTCTTTCTTCTAATCTTTCTCTTCTCTCTGCCTCTTCCCTGCTCTGCTTTTCATCTGTCCATATTGTCGGAAGTTTGACTTCTAAACTTCCTTCGATGATACGGATATGTAAAAATCAGTAATCCCATCCCTCTTAATATTCAAGACCCCCGCAGAAAACGCAGCAAAAAGCAGAAGATGAAATCACATATGACATAGAATCGGGGTGTTTAATATTAAGGGGAGAGAATAGTGGGCCCAATCATCCCCTAAAAATCAATGGTTAGATGATGCTGAGTATGTGAATGTTGCGAGATGATCGGCTGTTGAGATTGATGTTCATCTTATTGTTGGTGCTGTTGGTTGTCAATGAGGATGATTATGGTGATCATCAAGTGGTGTTCAAGCTTCAAGACCCCAATACGGCATGACGTGTTTTTGTGTTTGAACCAGTTTTGCATAACAATACGTTGGCAGTGGCTGTTCCAGCACCATTCATAATCCTTGATTTCAGGCCAGTGGTGGATTAAGGGACTGGATCGTACAGAGATGGGTGAATCGACAAAATTTACAAGGAGAATGATTGAATTACCGTGTGAAATCATGTGAAATCAATGCAATACCTTGGGTTCATAGGATTGTTGACTCGGTCAGATGGCTACACCATCCCAATCCCCCTTGGTGAGCCCCCTATGTCATCCCAGTGATCCAAGGTGAATAGCTATTACCATAGTTATTACCATAGCTATACTAACTATGGTTTCTGATGCTATGGTTTATGATATTCCCATAGTTATACCATCTAATTACCATAGTTATACTATGGTATATATATCCATCACCCCATCATCCCAAGCTCCTGCATCGTCTGGAGCTCTGATTTGAGGTACATGAGCAAATTGCAAAGTGCCATGCCCAAGCCCAATATCTCCAAGCACCTACTGGGCCATCGTCAGGATCCCCTGCGTAGCGAGAAGGAGGAGGAGACCCGCCACGATAGCAACGGCGCGGGTACGGATCCCAAAAAAAGATGCCTAGAAAATCCTAAGATTTGGGAAAATGATTGTTAGTTAGCCTCCGGTAATCAAATATGGCTGGCGAAATCCTCTATAAGTGGAGGCTTTCATCAGAAAATCATCGAACTAAATGTGTGATGCTCCAGCAAGCCACGTGACTGATGAACGGAGGATAAGCATTGGATTTTTTGGAAGTACCCTATGTTTCGATATCACCCAATAGGCATTGTGGGGATACCACCAACATTAGGAAAGAAATGGGGCCTAGCTCTACCGTCTATTCTGTGGAGATGATGGTCATCAATCCCTATGCCGAGGATGTTTTTTGATGGCACATATCATCCAAAAAACCTAAGAAATCACATCCGAAACGACTTTCCGAAACGGAAGAAAGGATGAAGTACAGCAATAAACAAGCCACCAGGTCACCAGAAAAAAATGATCACGACCTCACGTCGCGACCTCACTGGAATGATGGGAAGTTTAAGGGCTGACTATCCCAAAGTAGCCGAAGTTTTTAGATTAGTGAATTATCATAATTTACCCAGACTTACGATCACCCAGAAAGATGTATCCTGTATCCCTGTATCCTTCAATATCACCATCAGATGAAGTGCCGAGGAGTTACAAAAACAGGAGCTGCCTTCAGGCGTGGGAAGACTTGGGAAGAGGAAGTGGCGCTGAAATCCTCCCATTTGGGTAAACCATGGTCAATTCCATTCAATTTCATTGTTCCCATCATAAAATCATCATAACTCATCTATTCCATAGATCTTTGGGAACGCGGAAGCCCGGGTGAAACGCCAAGATGAAGATGGTCCACAGCCACCAGAAGGTCAACCGTTGCTTGGCTTCAGTGATCCATGATGACATAACGAAACCCCCATGACTGGGTCAATGCGAATACCCCAAATGCGAGTTTGAATGGGGGGAATGATGAACCATCCAAAAATCATCCAAAAATGGGCTACCCGATTTTCGGACAAAGCCAAAAGTTTCGATTTTTTCAGATAAATGGGCCACTGGGCCGAGAAATCAGGTCGTTGCTCCAGCGTCGTTTCTTCAGCCCAAAGAAGCAGGCGCGGCCTTCACGGATGGTCCACGTCTGTCCGGTCCTCCACTGAAGCTGTGGCTCTTGAAGCTTCAGCCATTTTGCTTCATCCTCTGCTTCAGCTTATGATTTTGTCGGAAATTTCGTGCCCTCTCTAAATAGGTGTTCGATTGTTCGTTTCCAGAATTCCATGTTGGTTGGAGCCAAGACTCGTTCAGACTGTTCAGATCTTCAAAACGTCCCAGAAATCATCCATTGCCATTCAAAACCCGTTAAAGACCCATTAAATTTATGTCAATTGGCTATTACCCATTGAAAAGATATCATAAAAGCCCAAAGAAAAGCAACAACAATTCCCACCTGGGAGGTTTGCCTGAATTCCTTGAGTGAACAGCACCTGCGGCTGTTGGCACATGCTTTGGAGGAGACCCAAAGATGTTGCCCCTGGGCGGACGAGGGAGATGGGTCCGAAAATGGGAGATGGGTCCCCCAATTCAAGGCCATAACACATGGAGAATGAGAAAAATGATGGAAACTTTTAGAGTGATCGATGTTTGGCCCCACCTCTGGTGTGATGTGATTGCAAGATCTTCATCCTGGTCCGACAATCCCCTTGGGATCTTTCAGCGAGGCGCAGCAACTTTTTCAGTGCCCTGTAAACTAACACAGTCGAAGAATCAATGGAAAATTCCCAGCTGTCCGAAAATCTTGGCGTTTCCCCATGTCCCACAGTCAGTTCACAGTGTCCATGTCCGTCAGTTTACCCCAGTTTACCCCGAGGCAATTTCATCCGCCTGTACCCGACGCCCTCCACGGTGAAACGCTATCAGCCCATCACCGAGAGTCGAAACACAGAGGTGCCACGGCGCCAGCTGATACTGCTGGGATGACCATCCGACTGATACTGGTCATCCTGGAGATATGGTGAAGTTGAAAAGATCCAAAAACGAAAAAATGGGAAGATCTTGAAAAGTCCCATCTTCTACATCTATCTACTTTAGGATGATTACAAATCATAACATGAGGAAATGATTGCTGAATTCTTGATGAAAACGGTATAAGAACTAGCTTTTAAGGAACAAAGATTAGGATTTAAGAATGAAAATAGTGGTAAACGAATTGGCAAATGATGAACAGAGTCCATTGTTTGAGAAAATGCGATTTTATGTACTATCCAGCTAAGACTTTACTTCCTTGCAGTTCGTATCAGATATCAGCCATGATTGCAAGACATCGGAGTAACCCAAAAAGGGGGACCAGAAGACGATTGGACTCTTGGACGTGGCCCGTTTTGCGGACTGTTTTGTGAATGTTTCCCTCATGGTTTCGAGATATCCCTGGGATGTTTAATTGACCAATTTGTGTTGAGACTCCATTTTCCATTCCAAAACAAGGTGTAAAAAACTGGAACGGCCTGATGGCGGATAGATTCATCCCATCGTCATCCCACGGCTGATGGAAGCAGCTAACCAGTCACGAATCATTGGTTCCCATCCAGATATTACTTGAAACGGCAATAAAAGTCTCCAGTATCAGCGATCGATACCTGGATTGGATCTACCCTTGGATTACCAACCCACCACTTAACAGTTTGACCAGGTTTTTCCCTGAGGAAACTAGTCTTCCAACCCTTAACTCAGGGGGTTCTATGTTGGAGAGATCATATATCATAGTTAACTTAGTTACCATCAGGTTATTTAACATAGCCATGGAAAATCACCATTTTTAATAGGTACACCATCTATAAATGGGCCATTTTCCATGGCTATGTTAGTCATAACCAGAGCGTAACTATTGAAATTCAGCCAGATCTATAACCCCATGGAATTGGCTAATACCCATCCCATTTGAATGAATCGATGCTGCGGTAAGTTTCCACATTTGTGGGTGACATTCTTAGTATTCCCACGTTAAGTGTTTAAACCCTGTGGATATAGGCTGTCTAACAATTTTTTTTAATTCCTTGAGTCAACTATCACTATCAACTTATGTCCGCATTGATTTGTTTATATCCCCATGAAATTTCTGTTAACAGTTGTTTTAAAGCCATCTTAAGTATATACCACTATATTTCCATTCAATATTCATTATCGTTATATCCATTATCATCAACCATTGTTGGCCATTGTCTCAACCAGAATTAACCATGACTAATCATTAAGTCAACCCATATTAACCATGATCACCCATTATCAACCATTATCAACTATGATATCAACCATTATCAACCATCAACTATGATTTACCATTGTGAACCACTATCAACCATGGGAAATCCTGGGATCCAGGACGAGTATCGCAACCAGCTGCTGACCTCCCTCCTCTACGCGGAGCAGCTGCCCTTGTGCGAACGCCTGGAGCCGTTGGAGGCGGATCCGATGGGTCACGTTAGCCAACCATCCAAGTGGTAATGTGTAACAGTTTGCTATTGGGGTTTAATGGGATTTAATGGGGTCTAATGGGGTTTAATGGGGTTTAATGGGGTTTAATGGGATTTAATGGGGTTTAATGGGGTTTAATGGGGTTTAGTTTAATGGGGTTTAATGGGGTTTAATGGGGTTTAATGGGGTCTAGTGGGGTTTAATGGGGTTTAATGGGATTTAATGGGGTTTAATGGGGTTTAATGGGGTTTAATGGGGTTGAATGGGGTCTAGTGGGGTTTAATGGGGTTTAATGGGGTTTAATGGGATGTAGTGAAATTTAGTGATATACCCTCTGGTAATTTGTAAGAGTTTGCGACATTGAAAATTGTGATTTTCCCATTGATAGCATGGTGATAGAAATAGTGGATTGATAGCATGGTGATTTTCCCATAACAAACATTTTGCGACATTGAAAATGGCCATAGAAATAGTGGATTTACCCATTGATAGCATGGTGATTTTCCATAGTTTTTTGTATGTTCACCAGAGGGTAAAAGCGGGACTAAGGGGGATATGTTGGGATGATATCCAATAATTACTGGTTGGTCGTTTGGAACAGGACTTTTATTTTCCATCATATATGGGATAATCCTTCCCATTGACTACTAGTTTTCAAGATGGTTAAAACCACCAACCAGATTAGATTGGTTGAATACCAAACTAAAAATTGGTTGAAGCTACAAGCAAGAGACATATGGAGGTGTCCTAAGTTATAGGGTAGGCCCCTAACTTCATCCACTTTATTTTAGGATTTTCCATGATATAAACCATCCAGCTATTGGGGGATCCCCCATTTTAGGAAACCCCCATATGTGGATGGGTCAAAACCTATGGCTGGGAAATGATGGGTATTCCTCAGCTATACCAGCTATGACTTTGGGTACCATCCGGGAGGCTTCTGATCCATAACCATATCATATCTCCCAAGATTTTTGGTGGTCACTCCACAGCTACCCAGGAAGACATCTTCCGCAGGCCTTGCACCTTATTTTATAGATTCGCCAAGCCATATTCTCCACCATGAGTTACAGTCCATGTTATTGTGACTAGTCAGAATAATGAGTTACATCATGCGCACGACGTCCAAATATGACTATTGGATACTACTGGAATATTGTGATGATCATTGGAATCACCAACAGCCGAATTATCATGATTTACACCCATATGTAGCGATATGTGGGATATCATGATATCCCCAATTACATCACATAATTCTATATGCCCAATTAACATCCATTAACTAAATTTACATCTCCATCATAGAATTCAACAAGCTATGAGCTATCATCTGGGGGGGCCTCGCGTTGCTCATCACACATAGCAATGCAAAATCCATTGAGATTTGGGAATGTCCCAGTGCCACCTTTGATGACACCAGAGGCTACCAACTATCTCCGTGATGTCAATGCCAATGACCCTGGAAAATAAAATGATCCAAATATTCCCACAGAAAAACAACATCTATTGTTGGTTAACAAAACCGTTAGACCCTTATAGTTTGCCAATCGGATATCCCATTTCTGTAATTGTAACATTGTAACCCTATACTGGTTGGTGGTTTGGAACATGTTTTGTTTTTCAATACATTGGGAATTTCATCATCCCAACTGACGAACTCCATCATTTTTCAGAGGGGTAGGGCTCAACCACCAACCAGGATTGAATTGGTGATACTTAAACTCAATGATTAACCCATGATGATGGTGAATTCCCTTGGAGCCCAGGAAAAGGAGGAGGAAAAGGAGGAAGAGCTGACCGAAGTGGCGCCTCCACCGCCTCCAGCAGTGGCGGATAGCAATATGAAGATGATCGAGGATGTGCTGGAAACGTTGAAGGTACTCCGAAAAGCTGAGAAAATGTGGTAAAAAGCCTGGGAATATCCTCTAAATCCATGAGAGAGTTGGGAAATGGATAGTAATCTGTATCTAGCTGGCTAGAAACGATAGTGAATTGGATTCTGATATTGCTTGAGAATGGCAATCAACCAAAGAATGGAGGGTAGTGTGGTCAAACCAGTGATAAACTCCATGTTTGTCTAAGGTATTACAAAGATAACTTGTGATCACTGTGCGTGTTGACCACTGATGGATGGTCAATAGTGAGAGTGCAATCCTGGAATTTCGACAGCACATGGCATGTCGACTAGGAGCACATGGCATGTGAATAAACAGAGGTTGTGACTACCCTCCTGTGATTTATAGTGGCAAATAGACATTCTGATTGATGGGGGAAATTGTTTTTATGGCGATGCATTCATGAGGTCTTGGGGAGCAAGATGAGTTCCCAGCTACTCCTCATGGAGCGTCTTGGCGGCAACGGATGTTGGTGTCAAGTTGAGGGACGCCGTTTAGCTTGGGGACCGCTCAGTGAGTGAAAAGGCTCCGAAGCCGCAAGGATGGTGAAACCAATGCAGCGGCTGCAGAATTGGATGCCCCAAAAAATCTCTGGCTTGGTGCTTTCAAAGCCTGATTTTCCAAAATCAAATCACAAAAATGACCTGTATTCGATGTACCCATGGAATTTCCATTGAGAGATCTTTGGTCCCCTTCCCTTTGGAGCCAGCCGCGTTTCACGTTTCGGTGGTCAGGTACCTGGTGCGGCTGCTGAACACCTGCGAGAAGTTGACCGACTCTGCACGGAAGAAGTTGGAGAGTCGGCAGCAGAGCGCCATCGCAGGCGGGTTGGATGGCTTGGATGGGTGGAAGTTGAGCTGAAAAAGACACCCCACTAGTATCCACTGGACGGGTTCCAGATAGCCAATGACCAACTCTGGAAAAAAATCATCCAAATTAAAATATTCTCACAATTCACAAACATCCCCGGTATTCCCATTAACTTATGAATCGTGGCCATCAATCATTATTCCCATGATGAGCCCATTGTTAGTGCTCTGGCTCCAGGTTTGCTCTCGGTCTTCCGACAGCAATTGGCCTTGTACTTGCGCGCCGAGGGTCGCCGCCGTGGGCGGATGGAGAAGGGCGAGCAGAGTGTGGAACCGGAGGAGCCCAAGGGCCCCTTGGTGAACGACATGGGCCACGTTGGGGGTGAACCATACTGTAACTAGTAAAGAACAATGTCATAGACCTGGTTTTATTGATGGTTTTATAAGTTATACCACCCATGACAATGGTAAAATTGGGGCTGGTCCACTCTCGCTTTATTCACATTAAGGGGGTTTTCTCTCACCATAGTTGTAGGGGTTATATCCTAACTTATGGAGGCTTAAGTCCCATAGTTATACACATGAAAGTCATCCGGCTGCACCCCCAAGCACCCCCATTTGGAATGGGAAAATGCGAAAAAAATCCTTTGGAAATGATGGAATTCTTGTTGGGATTGGCACCAGAAAAAACCTGCATATGGCAATGGAAATCGATGTTTGGTGGAGAAGAATGGAAAATCCTCTGGAGATGGTGCGCGTTATAGCCAGCTGGTGATATTCCTATCGGCAATGGGATGAATCAATGGATTGGTTTAGGGGAAAATTTGCAGGAAAACCCAATATTTAATGGTAAAAACCATGGTTTCCTGTAAATTTTCCCTTAAACCAATCCAATGAATGAATGGAGATAACTGAGGCAACATTGTTGATGAGGTGGAGGACATGTCTCAGCAGGTCGGATCTGCCGAATTTTAGTCGACTCTGGCTACTGTCGACACCCATGAAGTGATGATTTGTGGGAAACCAAAATCAACTGACCAGTAAGTGATGACAGTTGGGGTCAATTTGGGAGTGCCTTTTCCCCATTGACATTTGGAGAACGACGATACTCAGCTCCCATGATTTTGTCGTGCCTTTTCAACCCGTGCTGGATCAAACTGCAGAAATCAGTTTGCCAATTTGTTGTCTAGTTCACTTGGTTGGCTTTTTTCGTTGGATTAATCATGATCGAACTGCCCATCATTTTTTAAAGGAAAATATGAAGTTGTGCTTATTCCGCTCGTGTTTGATTGTGAACTGCCCAAATTTTTCTCCGCCGGTATCGAATCCCAGTTTCACTGGGAGTGCTGGGCAGTTCCACTAGCTGGTTGGACAACCATAGTTGTAGGGGTTATATATATATATCCCAATTCATGGAGGTTAGAATCCCATAGTTCCCCAAAAATGTCCCACTAAGAATACATGGGTTTAGCCCATTAATAAGACTGCCACTATGAATCTCTACTTGTCCAAAATAATCCCTGGATCATATGGAGGTGTCCTAAAATGGGTGTACCCAAAATCATCCAAGTCATGCATGACCATGACTTAGTTTTAAAACATGTTGTATGGTGACTTGGATCCCCCACGACTCAAGAAACATCACATCATGGCCCATCAGGGCCAATAATGTAGATGATATTGCATTATCTTTCAAACATCCCATGATAGTATAGATGGTAGATGATCTTAGATTATGATAATTTCCCATCATATTTATAAATGGGGTCCCATCATATTGATCTATTTTGATAATCCCAAAAAAAAAATAATCACTATTGATTAATCACTATTAATTCGTCACCATTAATTAATCACTATTAATTAATCACTATGAATCACTATTTGATAATATAGATCTATATTGTTTTGTAGACAATCCAATCATAGTCTATTAGTCACTATTAATATTGAATAATTACTTTTAGATGACCAATCCAATCATAGTGATAACCATAACATATTAAATCCCTCTTAATCGCTATTCATCATTATTAGATAATATAGACTTATATAATAGACAATCCAATTTTCGGATATGATATACATGTATATATACATATTATATAACTATATGGATATTAATCATAGTGATATATAGTTGTTATTATTATTATCTAATAGTGATCGTGATTAAATAGTCTAATAGATGATCCAATCCATTGGTAATAATGATAGAATAATTTCATATAGTCTAATATAGACCTATAGTCTATGTAGTCTAATAAATATATATATCTACATTATAGATCCATATCATCCAATATTACATGATATATTACCCTCTGGTTATTTGACATAGCCATGGCATGGATGGCCCATAGAAATAGATGGTTTCCCTATCAATAGCATGGTGGATCTTTCCATGGCTATATTAAATAACCAGATGGTATATTATGAGATATTATATTATATTATATTATGTTATATTATATCTATATTATAGATCTATATTGTCCAATATTACATGGTATATTATATAGGACAATAGAGATCTACATTATATTAGATGTGGACAATCTCCATATTTGGCCACATGTGGATAGTCCATATAGATCTATATTATAGATCACATGATATATTAGATTTAATAGATAATAGAAAATTGTCCACATGATATATCTATATTTTCCAATATTACATATTAATATTTTAGATCTATAATATTATAGATAATAGATCATTATATATTATACATATTAATATAATAGATCTATATTATCTATATTATGATAATAGAGATCTACATTTTAATATATAATCATAATGTAGATAAATGATAAATGTGGACAATCTCCATATTTGGCCAGGCCTTGGTGCAGATTCTCTGCAACACCTGGGGCGCCAGCCGCGACCACGCGGCCAAGGGGGTGGACTCGCTGCGGGGCGAACTCTCCGTGGTGAGGTCCGCTGGGAAAATGGGAAAAACTCGGGGATTTCCAAGGGTTTTTCTGGGGACTTTATAGGGATGTTATAGGGATTTAAGGTAGAGATTTGATAGGGATATGAATCACCAAACCATTTTTTAAGCCGAAAAAATGGATTTGGAAGATGATTGTCAGATTGTCCTATTGGTTCTAGCTATTTTGGGGTTTTACTTTGAACTTAGGGAGTGTATACCAGTACTTCCGCACAAGGCTGTGGCGGAAGTTTCAAAGATAGGAGACCATAGAAAATCCACTGATGGAGGAGTTGTGCCTTTTGGAATGGTTGCAGTGGTCGCCTCACCAACGACTGCTGGATGTAGTGTGGTGTGGTGTGGTGTAGTTGCAGTTGTAGTGTAGTTGTAGTTGTAGTTGTAGTGTAGTGTAGTGTAGTGTAGTGTCGTCTGGTGGTAGCGTAGAGTGGCCCCGGAGGGTCGAAAAGTAGGCTCGCTAAAGCGGCGGGTGCGGAGCCATGTGGTCAGATGAGACATGACAGTTGCACGCTGTTGTGGCGCGAAGCACATTTCCAAGTCAAAATGTACAAAACACACCAACGTCGGACCACTTTTGGAAGTTGTGATGTCGAAAAAGTGCACGCCGTTGTAGCGCGAAGCACATGTGGAAGTCAAAATGTACAAAACACTTCAGTGACGGAGCACGTTTGGAAGTTGAGATGTCGAAAAAGTGCACGCAGTTGTGGCGCGAAGCACATTTCGAAATCAAAATGTTAAAAACACTACATGTTCGGACCACTTTTGGACGTTCAGATGTCGTTTCGCGTGGCAGGCGACCAAGGTGGAGGAATGTTAGTTGGCATAGGATGGAGGCCCCATGAACAGAAGGACGGCAGTGCCTGAGCAAATCTAGGGACATGAACCTTACTGGACCTGAGGCCAAGCAAACTAGATCCACTCCTATGTGTTTTGAGCCGAGGAAATCCGAATGTTCAGCCGGCAACCAGAAAGTTTCCAACAATAGTCTCTTATTGGGGATGAAGCTGATTGCCCATTGCTGGATAACGATGGACTGTTGGTTAGCCCAGGTGAAGTCTCAGCAAACACGAAAGTTGTGGGAACTTAAAACCCCAGGTTTGGGCAGTTGAACTCTACGTACCTACCTGCCTCCTCGCATCTATTTGTTGATGAATCTACTCTATTCCATACGTTTCTATCTCTTTCTATCTATGTTATCTTGGTTTATCTTATCTTATTTTTCCTGATCTTGTTTATCTTATGTGATTTTATATTATCTTATCTTAGGTCATCTTACCGCAGTGTGTTTTATCTTAATTTGTGTCATTTTATTTTATCTTATGTAAATTTATCCTATCTTATCTGAATTTGTTCTTTCTTTTTGTATACAGCCCTGTTGTCAAACAGCCACTGTGTTTTTCAGGTGTGCTCCTGAGCCCTTCGTTCAAAGTTCCAGTGGCTGCCGCGCCATCGCAGCGTTGGGGGAGTTGACTGCCACGGTCCGCGGCGGGAGCAGCGGAGAGCCCTGGGTGACCCATGGATTTTAGCCAATTACCATCGGGAAACGTAGCAATGGGAAATCCCCTATACATAGAAGTTCTATTGGGAGAATCATCGAATTAAATGGTTGATTTTCCAGCACGCCATGTTGGACTACTGGAGGGTATAAATGGGATAGCCATGGGATCAATCAATTTTTTGTCGGGATTCTGAACCACTCACCAAGCACGTTCTGGCATAAAACGGCCATGTTTTGCAGCGAAAATCATGATAATGCACTGGATGTGATCAAGAATTTTGAGGGTTTTGACAAACGAAAATTTGCAAAAATTTGATTGAGCAGATGATTTGTTCGACTTTTTCGCCCCAAATCGGGATATCTGTACTAACCAGCTAGGACTGAAATGTTTCAAGGTTAGCATCAAAGATTGGCCATGCCAAATGTGTTGAGATCCCGATCCCGGTCATGGGATATGAAAGAACCTGCCACATCTGTATAGGTATTCAAACGTTGCAGGGTTTAGGCTGGAGGTTGCCGATTTACATGGGTTTATCATGATGTATCATGATGTATCAACGTATTGTGAACGGAAAATGTTCGAAATGAATTTCAAAAAAACTGAAAAATGGCAACCCCATAGTAACCACCAAGCAATGAAGGGATAGCCTCCTATCAGTTCCAACCTTAAGGGTGAAAAACCCAAAATTCGCCATGACCTTGGAACTTTGGTACTTCAGAGATGTCAAGCTTGGATGTGAAGTGATCTGGAGCAGTCACGTCCCATTTCCTGGATTTGGGATTCTTTTCCACCAACGGGACCGAAAAATCGACATAGCTTTGTCTGAAAATATGGTACCCCGTTCCATCTGGAGAATGTTCGAACTTTCCACATGTTCAACATGAAAATGATTTTACAATATGGTGGACCCCAAAAAAAATGGAAAAGGTTCAAATCATCATCTTTTTTGGAAAAGATTTTACTTTTCGGCACTATCCATGAAAGAAATAATAGCAATGAAGTGAGGTAAACCCAATGCCATAAACCATCCCATTTACCAACCATGATGAGAAAGGACTTGGAGTCCATCTTCCGCGCTCCGCAGTGTCCACCGGAAGTGTCTCTTGGCAGTATCAAGGCCCAGATATGTGGCTAGGGATCAATAAATATCCATACCAAATGGCAAACTTTTAGGATCAAAGTGCTCCGCCTGCCACAAAAACGAATGCAACTCATCTTCTGAAAACCTTGCAAAAGTCTTGTGCTTGTCGCACAAAATGACCTTTCGATACTTTTTCAGACACGTGAGAATGTCACGAAGTGCCATGCCTGCCACACGAAACAAGGTTGCGCAACGTTTGAAACATCCAAAAGCTGCCGCTTTTGCAGCAATCCCCATAGGCACAGCCATGGCGACCTCATCGCGGACGGTTGCGAACGGTTGCGGACGTGAAAGCGGCCTCGAACAAACACGTCCCAACTCCCAGATTCCCAAAGTAAAACGAGAACCCTTCGCTACGTATTCGGCAAAAAGCTGCTGATCCTTTTCAGATTTGAAACACGAAGCAGATCAATGATGCAACTTAAAATCGATTTTTCCTCAAACATGGTAACGATTCGTGATGCTCAGTGGAGTTGTTCATATGTGCTTTCAGTGCCGCAAGAGGTGATGGCAGAGGCTTAGTGATGGTCAGTGGGTGAAATAACATATGGGATAAGGCCACTTATGTTTCTGTAGAACAGATAGGATACATAAGATAGACAGGATTTAAAAAGGCTACATAAATAGATAGGACAAAAAGATAGATAGAAAACCATATACAGATAATGACAGATACATAGAAAAACATATAGGTACATAGATAGATTTAACGATTCAATGGTCTAAATGGTTTCAAAAACTACTCCAACCCATGGCCCCTGTGGAACTGCTGAGGAAAAGCATCTTCCTGGTCCCCGAATTGAGCGACGCGACCACGCCTAGCTTCTTGCGGCGCACGCAAGCGGGGCCACTGAGCGATGCTCGACGATGCCGCGAAGGGTTTGGGGAGGTCACATCCTGCAGGGCAGACTTTTGAAGATATTAGGTGTATATATATGTATATATACACATTTTCATTGATACACAGATACATTTATATATATATATACCTTTTCAAATAAATACAGAAATAATTACATATATACATATTATATACATATATACATATTATATACATATATACATATTATATACATATATACATATATACATATAAACATGTGTACATATTCACATATATAGATATATACATATATACATATTTACATAATTTTACATTTATACATATAAACATATGTACATTTATACATATCCACATTTATACATATATACATTTATACATATATACATATTCACATCTGTACATTTATGCATATTATGCATATGTGCATTTTTACATATTTACATATATACATAAAATCATATTTACATATATACATATATACATATATACATATATATATACATATATACATATATACATTTTTACATATATACATATGTACATATATACATTTATACATAGATACATAGATACATATATACATATGTACATTTATACATATCCACATTTATACATATATACATTTATACATATATACATATTCACATCTGTACATTTATGCATATTTTGCATATGTGCATTTTTACATATTTACATATATACATAAAATCATATTTACATATATACATATATACATATATACATATGTACATATATACATATGTGCATTTTTACATTTACATATATACATAAATACATTTTTTCATTTTTACATGTATACATTTTTACATATACATTTATATATATCTATACATATTCACATAATTACATATTTACATAGATACATTTATACATATTTACATTTGTACATATATACATATATCCATATTTACATATATACATATTTGCATATATATATATACATATATTTACATATTTACATACTTACATATTTAGATATATGCATTTTTACATTTTTACATATATATACATGTACACATATACACATGTAATTGTGTGTTCGGTTCGATGTCAGCATCCGAAATTAGTTTAGATTTATCTTCATTTTGCTTACGTGTCATCTGGAAAAAATGTATTGAGTGGCTCCAGTGGTTCCACATCAGTTCTGGGCACTTAGCCCCCCATTTTTTAGTGACATGAAGTTATTGGTTGGTTACTGCTGCCTACATTTCAACTTGTTGCTGGTCACAAGAATAGTCTCAGTAGCAAGTTATATTAACCATGATTTTCAATATTACCCATTGAAATCTCTCATGATACTCAGTTTGTTAATACCATAACTCGATTAAACTCAAAGATTCTTGTAAACAATGAATTTTGGAGTTTCATGGTTTTTCCTCTCCTAAAGATCCCCCATTTTGGACTCTTGGGATTAGGAGCTGGAGTTCTTGCAGCGCATCACGGCCATCCAACCACCTCCCCTGGCAGCCAAGAGCCCGGAGCAAGCACCTCCAGCGGTGCCCAGGCACTGCGTGAAACTGATTGAACTCCCAAGCATCATCAGCATCTGAATTTTTATGATTTTTAGGTGTCAATCATTGGTTATTGATGGTTATTGGTGTTCAAACCTCAAATGGGTCGGTTAAGATTCTGCCTTCCTTTAAAAATTGGTCGATGAAAGCATTCTCCATGAAATAAGCAATCTGGGGGCATGACTAATTTTCAGACACCGATTTGGGATCTTTGCAAATTTTAAAACAAGTGGGGTTGATTGTTGTCTTACCAGATCAGATTTGTTTGGTTGCCTGGTTATTTGACGCAATGCAGTAGACGGCTCTGGAGACGGGTATGCTTATGAAGTATTCATGCCTATCGCCTGCTGTTTCTCCGGTTGGGAATCTAAATCTATGGAGCCGAATCCCAAATCCAACAACAATATTGGTGACAAGCCATGAATGGAGGAGGCAACGATCATCAACCGGAGATTGGTAAAGATAAGTGGGGGTACAGCCAACAGAAAGGATCTGTTTATCTACACAGCTGGCGAATGGAAGTTTCAGCGGGATGGATCCCTGGAAGAAGTTTGGAAAAATCGTCCATTTTGACGCTGTTAGGTCATATCATCATATCCACACCCCATTTTTACGTGTCTTCCTGCGCAAAGTTCCCGTTTCTGCTGTCTGTTTCTGCCGTTCCCAGTTTTTAGATGCTTAGTGTACAGATTTGGGTGGAGGAATATTCCATTTGTTTACTGGGGCATCTAGAATCAATCCCAATCTTTCATGGAATCCACGCGTTTGTTGGAATTGGAATCCCTATCCAAATGTGCTGAATCCGTCAATGTCAACCCTGTTTCTTCTAAGGTACACACCTGAATTGCCAAATTTAAAAGTGTCCAACCATATTGAAATATGTGGTATCCACTTTGTTTATTCTTTAATGGTATTGTTGTTGATTAAATAGCCATTGAACAGGTTGATCAAATCCCTATTTGTCTAATCCCAAGACATATCAGCAAAATCCATGATTGAATCGTCCATCTATTGATAACTGAAAGCCCATTGAGCCCAGTGGAGTCAAATTTGCCCCCAAGACTGCTTCGTCTCCCAAGTTGAGCGACCAGTGACCAAATATCTTCTGGTTCAACCCAGTGATAGGCCATTGATCAGCCCAAATCAAACGGCGTCAAGGGGCTTGGATGCTCTCCCAAATGATTTAGCGTCACCCACTGGAGTACAGAAATTTGCCTTAAATCGAGTGCGGCCAAAATCTTTTCATGACTTTACCATACTCTGCCACTCAAACTATGACTAAAGAATACGTTCAGCCGAGCGCAGCAATGATTTTAGCAACCCCTTTGGGTGTATCTCATGATATCCCCACGAATATCCCATATCTCAATGGTTAATTCATTTTTAAATCATTCTTGGTTCAAAACACAAAGATGAAAGGTGAAACAAGTTATATCAAATATCATGAATGTCCCATTGAATCCCCCATTTATTGGTGGTTTCCCTCCAGTCATCATGGCAATCAAAAATCTCCCATCGATGATTTTTCCAGCTATAAACATCCGTGGCTAGTTCGGCAATTTAGCCGTGGTTGGTTTGCATCGTAAATCCCCATGTCTTTTCCACTTGGGGTGACCTTCCTGGGTATGGGATTTAAACCTCCGTTGGGACATAATCCCTATACAACTACGTCATTGACCCACAAGAATTAGTGAACCTGCACCCCCAAGTCAATCAAACATGGCTGGAAAATCGACCCCAAGTATATTCTCTGCTGCTATCATTAGATCCCATTAAATATCATTAAATATCATTTTTTATCCCTTTCTGATTGGTAAATCCCCATGTGGTCTTCATGATATGAAACAACGCCAGGCTGATGGTCTCCCAAAGTTCCCCTCAGCTGAAACGTCGCCCTGGGCCTTTGGCGCCACTGGGGCAGCTGGGGCAAGGCCTAGGCCAGGGCCTGGCCTACAGCCGCAAGGGCCGGACGCTTGGCAGCGAGTTTGACCAAGCATTAAGCGAGGCTTGACAAGCAAATCTCACGAATTCGGAACAGAACAGCAAGAACAATGCGGGCTGTCGGGTGATGTCACCAGCAAGACTTCTGTTATTACAAAAGCTATTGGAAGACTCTTGCAATTTATCACATCACCAGATCGCCAGGTACCAGGGGTACCAGGTACAACACAATATGTTGGAATCGTTGACCGAGAAAATGGGATGGTTCACGATTACAACCAGTTCTCGAATGTGTCCATGGATGTCTATGGACCTTCAGTTGCGCTTGTCAGATCCGGATGTAACACATGTAACACTCAATGGATGTTTTAAGGGAAAATCGACAGGCAACCCCCATATTTAATGGTAAAAAGCATGGTTTCCTGTAGATGTTCCCTTCAACCGATCCATTGAAACACGTGAGGTTCGGCTTAGGGTCCTATCCCACGGCCCTCGGCGTTGACATCGAGCTCTGACGCGCTGGAACCCACTGGCGGAGAGGTCTCACTGATAGAATTCGGGGACGTTTTAAACGTCCTGGTGGTATGGAAGTCAAACACATCTGGTTGACCAAAATTGAACTTCGGCTCAGAAAAACATGGGGAATTCGCTCCTTAAAATGGGTTGGATGTCCCGAAGAGTATGGATATGCCGACGATGATGTTGACATAGTCCACCAGGCCAGTAATGATGTGTCTTGTCGAGTTGGTCAAAACTAAAGTCCGTTTGGGTCACCAATTTTGACTCATGAATAGCATTTAACCACGGATGCTGTCCCAAACTTGGGCCCAACAAAAGGTCTTTGTGACTTTGTGCAGTGAGGGGTGTGTGATTCGTTGGTAGAATACATTTACATCCATGTAATATATATCTATACATATACATATATCATATATATCATATATATATATATATATTTGGGTGCATATGCCACCTATAGACCTGCGGAATGGGGGTCGTAAAACCTGCGTGTCCAGCATCACTCTTTGGCTTCCTTGCCCAGCGCTGCCGCGGCCCAGCGGTTTTCCGCCCAGGAGAAAATTGTCCTGGGCATCCCTGGCTCCTGTTCGTCCAGGGGATGTCCATCTTGGGACCTCAAAAAAATTCTGAAATTCTACCGTTGGATTTGGATCCCAATCCTACATCCCCTGGCAATGGAAACCTCGTCCGAAAAAAAAAAAGTTTGCTTCCTCCTTCCATTGCCACTGCGGACTAGACTGATGATTTTTCATCAGTTGTGTCATGCTTGGCTCTGCTTGGCGCTTGTGTAGCATCAGAAAATGTTCGATTGGCCATTGGACCTCGAAGGATCCGTATCACGAATGAGGACCCCACATAATGTGGTGCCACTGCCCACATCCGTTGGGCGAAGGGGTGCCACAGTTGGGTCTCATTCGGTGAATTCATCTCCTCCAAAGAGTTTGCGGCGCACAGCGGGGTGCAACACGTCCAGAAGCGGGGTTCTACCAAAATGTATGGTGATTCTAACAGGGGAAACTCAAGAAGAACCCCATTTGGTTGGGAAAATAACTATAAGATACTATAAGTATATGGTAAAACAATGGATTTTCGGGCAGCATCCCCCATTCTTCAACTCACAACAACCAACAAGCCACATCTTCCCAGCGTTGCTGCGTCCGCGAGATATTGAGGAGGCCCGTCGTCCACTTGGCAGGCAACTTTCACCCAAAAAGATGGGGAAGCTGCCAATTCTTTGGGCTGGGCACGCAATTTCAAGTGATTTCCCATGACAGTTGGCTCTATCATAGCCATCATGATTTACGTAGCGGATGGCTCATGTTGGCAGCTTTGGGGCTCAAACTCATGGAGAGCAAACAGCAGATTCCCACCGAGAAGAAAATCTGGGCAGAATCAGATTGAAAATGATGCGTCTCAAAACTCTAAACGGTATAAGCATTTGAATTGGTGGTAAAAAAAATGTGATATCACAATGAAATAGCCCCTAGGAATTAGTCTACAGAGTTTTCTCTGTCGAATCGTGGATATTTCACAGCATATCACAGTCCAAATCACCACAAACTCAGCCACAGCTTCAGCTTTGATTTTCAGCTGCACCCTGGGTTGCCACGAAGGCCATGAACGCCATGCATCCCATGCATATGCAGCATGCCATGCCGCCACTGGACCGCAGCCGCAGTCCCTGCCGGGGATCTCAGTGTTTTTGGATGCTACCGGATGGTACCGGTGTGCTTGTCCAACACATATGTTTTCCGAACACCTGCGGTACTTAGGATTGTGCAGATTTCTGATGGTGTTTTTTTATGGGATTGGTAAATAAAAGTGATATTTTTTTGATGGTGTATTTTTTTTATGTGGACAAAACACCATGAAAATAGGGATTTGGTGGGATTTTCATGGTGTTTTTTCGGATATTGGTGGGGATTCCAATTCCGAAACATCTTTGCTTCAATCTTGTCATTGGCATCCAAAACATCTTTGCTTCCCTGGCCCATCAGTGATGCATGTGAATACATCTCTGCACTTTACATTTTGAGCCGGGATACTGCTGGGATTGGTGGCTTGCTGGAAATGACCGGGTTACAAGCAACACCCGTTGCCAAGATGAGCCTTTCTTTCATGTCAACATGTGGTGTGAGTTTATTGTGCCGATTTCTTTCCTCTCGAGGGATCTTGCCTTCCTTTTCATTACCATTTCTCTCACTGAATGTGAGTCAGTGAATTTTTGACCTTGGTATTGAATGCGATTGTTGAGTTCATAAAACTGAATGCCAGAACAGTTGCACATTTTGATTCAGTCAGCGTTCATCAGGCGCTGAGATTTGACATATACATACATGTATACTTTCTCCGGAATTTTTGATCAAGGTTGTGCCAGGTTGGTCTGACTTGACCATGGGAGTGCCGGCACCAAGCGGGGCTAAAAACGTACGCTCCTGCCCGCACCTGGCGACATTCCACACCCCCGGCTTGAAAAGAGGCGTGCTTCAGACTTCAGGCTTTTCACCCTGGTGATCTTCGCTGATTTGACCGGCGGACACGCGTGTGCTCCAGCTTCGGATTTCAGCGCTTCGTAGTCATCTTCGTATTCATCTTCGTATTCATCTTCGTATTCATCTTCATTCTCTTCACGCTACCGTATTGACTATTCCATATTTTATTTGTCTCTGCGCTGTTTCTGCTAACGACTTCTATGCCCCTGCCACACAATGCGGTTGACTTCCTGCTGCTCATTTGTGGGAAATGGCTCGGCCAAGAATTTGGTCAGCATAGGTTGCACAGGGATGTTCAAAGTACATGCCATGATCTGACCCGCTTGCTTTGCAACTGCGTTTTTTCCAGGTTGGCAGACACACTGATAACTCGGAAATCCGTTGCCCATGACTGGAAACGCGTATGTGAGATTTTTTCACTTTGTATACAGTGGACCTATCCAGTGAACGGGAAGTCGCGAAGGGTGTGCCCACATATCGAGGCTATGCTATGTCTTTTCTGTATCTCTAGAACAATTCTCTGGCTTTTCAAGAACGCATCTACGAAGAGAGGGGTTGAAGTACTTCGGCTGCTAAAACCTGATTTCATACACCTCTTCCATGTGAGCTCGCATCCCCCATGCACAAACACGGCCCATGATTTCCTCAGCCTTCAGAGACAGGCGATTTTTCCGACAGGTAGTACGGATTTTTGCATGTACCAGTGGTTTTGTGAGCATTTTCGTTATACAGGAATTGCACAGATACAAAGACCAAGTGCCCCAAACACTGCTGGACCTGCAAAGCGTTTACATGAACACCTTTTATTGACGGTGCGCCGAAATTACTCTGAATCTGCAAAACTCCGCTACCGATTGGCGCGAAGACATCCATTGGATTTGTGTTGTTTTCTTGTTACTATGGTCAACAGTGAGCCTAGGGTTCGTGCTTGTGAATGGTTTGACATCAAGACCCACTGCCCTAATGCCAATGGTGTTCCCCCTAAAAAAGGTAGAAACCGGTCAAGGGTCCCAAGGCAAAGGCCCTGCCCGCACCTGCGCGAGAAGAAAGCTGTTGTTACATCAGTGTTTGAACAGGACTGTACATCTTTGCGGTTAGAAAAGTTAACAGCTTCCTTTCACCGGCGAATGCTCTTGGATGAGCGTCAGTCTACTGAAGATACTTCTGTGCCTTTCAGCCGTATGTATTTGGACACATTGCGATCAAACTTTGCGCTAACTGGTGTTCCTGGTCCTTTAGACATTTTTCTGCCTGAGCATAGACGACTTTGTGCGAAATGGCTCATCACGGCGAGACATGTGGATTGGGAGATGGTTGAGCAGAAGTGCAAGACACAGTTTCTGGCCCCAAAGCTTGCTGGACTTAAATCTCTTCTACACAAAAAGGCTCAGAAAGCCCTTCTTGAAAAACGCCTTCGTCAGTATTTGTTTTGGAAACAGCTTCCTGCAAGGCGCATTCATGCCAAAGCCCCTGATGCTACATGCAGAGATGCGCTACGGGCAGTGGTGTTCCGATGCATTAATACTTGTTCTTCCTGGACGACTAGCGAAAAGCACTGGATCCGCTCACAAGTTCGCATCCATACTGGAAAAACGATGTCTTTCAAAGGTCTTTGGAATCACGTGCGCTGCGCGCGGTCCGCAAGTACAAGTGTGGTATCTGAAACTTCGACGTCTTTCAAGCGTGAGGTTTTACTGGGGAAGAAAATGAGGAAGAGTGAAAAGAATTGGGATGTCCTTATTCGACCAAGCAAGACTGAAAGGTGTGAGGCCATTTGCAAGGCTGCTGTTGACGCCATGAAACCGGTTTGCACCTTGCCCTCGCGCGCTTGTGTGACTAGCACAGCCAATGTGACTCTTGAGAGATCTACGGCGTACTGCCGAGAAGCACGTCGCAACCAGCTTTCTCAACGTGAGTACTCTGAATACACAAAGGATATGTCTTTTTCTGCTAAACATCTTGCCGTGGTTCCAGATGATAAAGAGCGAAAACATGCGTGGTATTTGACCCCAGGAGCGTATCAGTTATTGTGTATCCTTTTTGTACTTACGGCAAAGACTTGGTGTTTTTTGTCCACCTCCTGTGCTCATGCAAACAACTTGGTGGTGCGAAGAGTCCTTCACATGCTTGGCCCAGGGTTATCGACGAGACTAGGTATTTCTCCCTGCACCTGGCTTCTCCCATATGTCTATTGCACTATTAAGTCAAAATGCTTTTTGTCCGGTTGCAAAAGTGTGCGGATTTGTAAGGAAATTGGCCATAGCTGTGCTCGTAAGATCTGTTCCTATGTGAAGTGGCCTAGGCGCATTGTGTGGAAAAGGATTCACAGGTGTGCAGAACTCCTTGTCAAGGAAATGAGACCTGGTGCTGAAACTTGGGGTCTTCGTGATGCCGCAAAACGATGAAAAGACGGGTTGGCCTTCTTACAGGTTGGTGAAAATCCAAACTTATGTGCGCGGTGCTGTTGTAGGAAAAATGCCTTGACTGTTGTGGTTGCAGATGCTGGTCAGTTTTACGAAGAAGTGAGCTCAGAAAAAGCTTGTTTTGCATTGAGTAATATAGTCTTGGAGGCGCGGCTTGCAGGTTGGACGCACG